GACTGCAGCAGACAGATTTTCTTCAGCAAATCTGTAAAGGTAAATTATGCTTTTCAGTTGAGCGAATACCACAACAGTAAAAGACACCATCAGAAATCAGAAACAAAGCAAACACAAACAGCAACTCCACAAACCTGCTCGAAAAATTCCCTCAAGGGCACACCACCAAGTGTAACAACAAACTAAACAAGCAAATTTGGGAATTTAGAGCTGTCTGGAATGGGGCTCACTAAAGTAAATAAAGCGTTGTCTTCTCTCTCATTTAGGACAACACTCTTTGCAAATAAAAGCACTGGAATCTATCATCCAATCTTGTAGGTGAAAAATCTTACAGGGCTCTGAAGATTAGCTAAATGTTTGGGACAAAAAGTGAGACACGAAGCAGAAAGATAAAATTGCTTTATGGCAAATAGGCTGAGGCAGGAGGGGAGGAGAGTGTGCCCATGGATTCAATGTTAACTGTGATGAGGAAATGCAGAGCCGGTGCTTTTTCAGTAGCGGTTTTACCTGACCAGCTGTAGAGTGTGGAGTCACACAGACTTGCCCATAGAGTCCAGGGTAGGTAAAATAGTGAAGGACCCATTTAAAGTCATTCCTCTAGAAAAGTCACAGATATCCTGTGAGCTCCCTTTTTTAAAACAGTTTTGTACTGTTCAGAACTTTAGCACAATTCTCAGTGTGTTAACGTACATTAAGCACATCAATTATATTAAATAAAATTACATATACTTGTGTTAATTCTTATGGATAGCATAGGCTTCAGTAATTCTATAAAAGTTATATTATGGATCAAAAATGATACTATTTTAAGGTACACTTGAGAGACATGGAATCCAGAAGGAAAATGAAAATTCACAGCAAATCTGAATCCAATTTTAATTTTTTCACTCTGCTAAATCTGAAGCTTCTGATTACTCACAAGTCTAACATGTGAGCCAGGTCAGACTCAGTTTTATACTTGGAAATTCCTAGTGATCTTTTAAAATAGAAGAATATTTATCACACAAAATTAAATATTACAAAGTTTTAAGTGTATAAACATTGGTTCAGGTTTTTGGTAAGAGCTTAAGTTTCTGAATAATATCTGATTTCTTGGTAATATATGGTCCATGGTTACTTTACCTATTTTTGTCAAGGAAAAAATTCAGGGAAAGAAAGAAAACACCAAAATCAGGTACCTTTTTTTTTTTGAGCTTAAGTTACCAGTTACTTTTCCTATTGTTATTTTCATGTGCCTTTCTTAGAAAGGAAGAGTGCCAAATCATGGGATGAATGTCAGTGACTTCAGCAAAGTTAACCCTGTAAGGTTGATCCCATAAATCACACACTTACTGAAAAAAGGGAATGAATTTACAAAAACAGTGGTTTCCAGCCCTTGTAAGTCATGCAGGTAGAGTCTGAATGTCACTATCCTTTCCCTGAAAAATTACTAGACCTACTGAATAAGAACAGATCTACTGTATAACATGCCTGCAGACAACCCAACATAGCTCACGATGTGTGTGCTACAGAATGGATGCAAACAGGCAAACCTCCCTACGGGGTTGCAAGAAATAAGGCTATTACATATCAGGCATGGAGTGTGTATCAGGAGATTTTCTCCAACGGGATGAATTCAGTATATGGGATATTGCCTCAGCATCCATTCAGATTATGCACTGCATTAGGGAATCATTACTTTTGGGGACAGGATTTATGATCTACGAAGGATTTTTGAAGTTCCTGAAACAAAAATATTTGGTGTACTTGTAAAATGTTTGCCATGCTTCCACTATTCTCCAGGCATTCACTTATGATGGCAAGTAGCTTGGGTAGACCTTGGGCAAGATGGCTCTTCTATGCTTTCAGACATCTGATAAGGCAAGACCACTATGAGTTTAGTGACAGGAAATCAGCTCTAACGAAATTTTAACCTGTATGGAATCTTTGAACATGATTTCAATTTCCCAGCCTTACGTCATTTAGGTTATTCTGTAGACTTAAATAAGGTACCGCAGTGTCATAAACTTCTATTTGGATGTATGTGAAGTCCTGGTCTCAACCAATTACCGGTAAGGCAAAACCAGCTTTTACTTGTGAGACAAGAAAAACTCCTAGCCACTTCTCTGTGAGTCCTTCCTCGACAAAGCTGGACTGAAAACTCATTTGCATTGGAACAACTATGAGTTTTGCTGCTTGTGCTATGGTTCTGGCTTCTACCTTGGTTCTTTTTTTTTGTAATCTTTAGCAGCTGATCTTATAACAAAGCTCAAAGTGTGGAATGTAGCTGAAAAGGTATGTTTAAATAGACAAAGTATGCTAAATGCTTATCATTTTTATAATGTATGTTCATTCTCGAGTAGATATCATAAGGTAGCATGGACAATACTTACACTTTTCAAAATATACTTGTAAGAGTGCTTAGATAACCAGCCTGAGCTTAAGATTGGGTAGCACTCCCTCACAAATACAACACCAGCTGGCTGACCTTTCATGGCCTTTCTGTATCATGCAACAATATTTTCAGAGGAAATATGATTGCCATTTTTGAAAGAGGTTAGATTTCCTATTTAGATACTTACATTAACAATATGATGCGGAGACACAGAAAAAAAATACAGATGTTATAGTAGAAGCCTAAAACACTTGGATATTGAATACAAAGTTCTTTTGCAGATGAAGCCCTAAAATTCTGGTTTAACTCTTTTTAAAGGATTAGCTCTACTCAACATCTCTGATACCCTATGAATGCTACGCAGAAAGCTTAACAGAGATACAGGTAAAAGATATGAAGTCCTGAAACAATTAGTAGTTGTTTATGTCCTGCTCTGGGCAGAATGGTAGAGCCATCACTCAGGTTTCCCAAGCCAACTGATAACACAAGCTTCCCATGACAGTTCTGAGACTGAAGATACGTCAGCGTGGAATCGCTGAGGTCACTTCTCTCCTTTGTTATTCTTCTTTTTGGCTCTCTCCTAGATTCAAAATTGTTTTAAAGCTAACAGGATTTACAATCATGTAAATAAAGGATATTATATTAGCTTGCATATCAGATACTCTTGTTTATTCTGTCCAAGGAAGAGCTAGCAATAGCATTTTCATGACATCAGAGGCGAAGCAAAGGAAGCCATTCCAACTAATTAATCTCAGTATTGTTTATAAAGAAATATAGGCAACTGATCTGTGTAATTGTTCCAAGGAGTCACAGTTTGCACAGTATATTTAAACAACGTATGACTATTAGAGGGCAACTTTGAGGATGGATTTTTAATTTATCAGTGCAAAGTACTTTTTAGAGTTTATCAGAACTGTGAGGTCCACAAGGGTGGACATACAGAAAATTTTCAGGTTTGTCTGTTTTTAAAGTCCAGGTGAGTTTGTGGAAGCAATGACAAGCCTAGTCTAATGTCCAGTAATTTAGGAACTGCATAGTAAAGTGTTAATGGCAGACATTAAGATTAAAATGGTTAAGATAACAGATTTCTACTAATATTCTTAAACTTCGTGCAAGAGAGAGTAGAACTTAAATAATAATTCTCAAATATGGTTTGGATTTTCTTCTACCTGATTCTCACCTGAATATTTACAACTTCTAAAGAGGGATTTGTTGAAACTGCAATACATTGTAAGTATACAAACACTGAAAGTGTGACTCCATGGCTAAAAGGTGAGTTAAATGTGGGAATGAAATGATGTAACATTGCTTCATAAACACCAAGAGTCAGTTCCACATTCACTTTTTTTGTGTGAGATTGAATTTTATGATGATTTGGAAGCAGATGATTTAAGTTAAAATGAACTTAACCAACCTTCTAAGAAATTGAATGTATATGCTTCATTTTGTTTATTTAACAAATATTTTTAGTAATCCTTCGTACTTTACGTCAAACCTCATTGAGAACTTTAGGAGAAACTGAACTATAAATAGAGCAAATTAGTAACAGCTCGTACCATTACCATTGCAACATTTTCTTACACCTGTATTTCATCAAATAGTTACTGCATCTTTTCTCTAGATTGCGTTCTGTCAATTTTTCTGAATCAGTGATTTTTACATGTGCACCGTGTAGTTAGTACATAGGTCAATTCATGTTTAACTGTAGTGTTCAAGATGCTACTGAGCACAGCACCAAAGTCAATATAGCCTAGAAAGCTTTGTTCTCTATTGCCTCTCATGCTGTCTTGCAGACACAGCACTACAATCCTGTAATGATGCTTTTCTATCTGATAATTGAAAAACTCCATGTGTCTTTCACCTTCTGTACCCTATGAACTTCTCCCTCCATGCCCCATTGCAACTCCCTAAGCCTGAGCTACCTCCAAGTGATCCATTTTCTTCTCAGTGATTGCAGACCAGAAGCTGAACTCAACCCTTCTTCAGGTCTGCAATAGCGCCCTTCAGCCTCGGTGGGAACACTACTACCATTTGCAGCTTCCCCCAACTCCATTCTGCGGTCTTCTAGTCACTTTCCACCTCCCTCTACCTGACTTCCCTGCTCACTTGGTGTTCTCAGCCTTCCAAATTCCTGCACCGATATACTTTCACTGCCCTGTTAGAAGACACGCAATATACCTGAGACAGGTGGATTTCTTTCCCCAGAAAAGAACATACTTTTTTTTCATTCTAAAGACATCTTTGAAATTTTTTCCGTAATGTTTGAAATACACCAAAAACAATTCAGGAAAATCCTACTTTGCTAGTCGGCAGCTGCCAGCATTAGAAATGGCGCTGCTCGTGGCTGCTGACCTCAGCCAGGCCCCAACAAACACAAGCACACGTCAGAGATCACTGCTGATATGTTAAATATAATCCAGTTTTAGTGCTCTTCATTTTCCTGCTGGTAGTCGAACTTATGGCGGACAGTACTTCCAAAGTGTCTGCAGACTTCCAAGGCTAAAATCTAGCCTCGGACACCCACCCACACAGCAGCAGGAGGGGTGACCTCCCTCCACACGGCACACGGAGAGACAGGCCCAGACCAGGCGTCCCACTCCCACCCATAACCAATTTCAGCCCTCACCCTGTGGCTGCCTCCTCCCTTGTTCTCCTGTTGTTTTTCTCTGTTGTTGTTCTCTCTGCTTGTTTTCACCCACTGTGAAAACACAGTTGTTTTGTTGGCTTCCAAACCACTGTCAGTCAGGGGAGGCGGCAGACATTTTGTGTGTAAGACGATTGGAAGTGCTGGAAGTTTCCCCTCAGGTCTCCATGAAAATGTTATAAAATCACTAGATCCACAGAGGAACAGTAAATTCTGCCAACACTGGTTGTGTTGTGACTTTTCAGAGAATTTCTTTCAGATGACAGCTGAGCTAGGTAAGGAACCTGCCCTCAGTGACCTGTGGCCAGCCGAGAGCCATCAGACCTGTCACCCAGCCAGTCTGTCCTTGCAAAACCTGATGAGGATAAGAAGCAGGAATGGCAGTGGAATTCCTGTGTTTATGTAGGAGCTATTTATTCGAAATAAAGTTTTGCTGTCATACCTTCCTGTTTTCAGAAGTTATCCAGCCATGAGCTTCCTAATCAAAAGGGATGTGGCAGCATGCCATGGAACAGCCTCCCTTCCAGCATGTAGCCCAAGTATTTCCAAACCCCAGATTGTGCCTAGAAACACATACCTTGGGTGAAAATTTGAGTTCTATGCTATATGCATCAGAACACACATTTATTTAAAATAAATGTCCATGACCCACAGGTCCCTTTGGATAAAACCCCAACATGAAACCAGCCAAAAAAATCCCCACACGTCCAAGGTTTCACTTGTTTTCAGCAGATAGGTGTCTGTCCATGAGGGAAATAGCTCACAAAATTGAATGGTAGAATCTTCATGTATTTAAATTAGTATTTGAATTTGCTTTACAGCACCCTATAAAATCAAAGGTCTCATACTATAAATCTCTGGTATGCAGTAAAAATGAGGTAAGAGGTCCTCTGGGTACTTTAGTTGGTGGCATGGGTGATCCTAGTCCTTTCATTCTTCACCTGAGGGCAACATGAAGCAAAATTCCAAGTATATTGGAAATCTGAATGGTATTACTTCCAAAAGGAATTTTTGTTCCAATAGATTTTAGTTTGGGATTATTAATGAATAATGATTAATACAGGGTCTAGGGACTCCTGTCAGCAGTCAGAAGACACATCTTATTAATTTAAAGGATTCCTGACTCAGAGCTGACTGAAGGCTTCCTAGCATCAAAGGCTGCGTTGTGTTTTGCTGCACTGGAGGTGAGGAGCATGCTCCTGACTTGGATCGAGCTGCTCACATTGTGGAAGAGGAACGGTGAGAGGGAAGAAGGCAGAAGGTTGGAGATTCCAGCCAGGAAGTTGAAAGGGCACAGGATGGCTGTCATTGCTTAGTGGTGCAGTGGTTACCCCAGCCACAGCTGCTGTCCCATGAGCTCTTGTGCTCACCTCTGGCAGCAGGGATGCCTAGTAGCTCCTATAGCACAGAAAGGTAAACCACGAGGCCATGGCCACTTGTTCACACAGCAATCCACTGCCCTGATTAACTCTGGACTGCGTTAGGGCTGTCCCTGGCCAAAATTCATCAAACAACTCTGGAAAATCAAGCGCTCTTCATTAATGAGGGTATTTTGCATGAAAATTTTATAATAAAAAGTAATTAACTGTATTTGCTAAGAGTATATCAGCTCACTGAACTCAGTGGTCGTTTTCTTTCAATGCTCATGAGTCAGATGATCACAATATGACTATACTCTGTTGTAGAGGTGCCAGGCTGAAGCTCACAGCAATCCTTTCTGACTTTAACATCTGTGAACCAACTCAATACTTGCTGTAATTAAATGTCATGCATGTGTGGATTTGACTTGATCTCACATAATGTTTCTAGATACTTTAGATATGTGTATGTGAGCTTCATACCCTGTTGAGCTGAGTAATAGGCTGAGATTGGCTGAGGTTGGCAAGCACTTAAATGTCTTCTGCCTTGCATTCAGCATGAGCCTTGGATTCCCCTGCTGCGTATCCATAAGGTCAACTCAGCATGGTTTCTATTAAGCAAATTTAAGGCTGAAAATTTCCACCCATGTCAACTACCTACAAGTTTCAATTCAAAATCCTTTTGTGAAATGTTTCATTTTGTATATAGGTGCAAACTGAAAATGGAAGAAATATTCATATGAAATTTTTTACCAAACCAGTAAGATTTACTTAATCTAAAGCCAACCATGATCCTTTTCTCAAAAGCTGGCATGATCTTGATACCGAGATCACCTCTGAGAATTGTTGTCACCTGATGCACAAAAATTATTTCCTCACAGCTAAAGATGAACAATGTGCTTTTCTTTCACCTCCTTTGCTGGTGCACATCTGGACATTTACATTTGCCACCCTGGGCAGTGTAGTTTCAATCAAAGCATAACTGTGGTTTTGGGGGCCTGGTCACACTTTTATTGTGTTGTAATAAAATCTCCATAACAGAGGTTGTGAGTTATTGTTGCAAGAGACACCAGTGGTGTAGAATCTGTGTATGTGTTGGTGTAACTCATTTTATCCCTGTAGTTGTTTTTGCCCTGGAACACAAAGCCATGGACCTATTAAGCTAAACATGAGTGAACAGTTTCTTGAAAAATTTTGACTCTTAGAAAGTGGACCTCATCTGGACATACTTAAAGCCAAGACTACTTTCATTTGCTGTTTGTCACATGTCTCCATAACTTACATTGAACATCAACAACAAAACCATTTTCAAAAATTAATAGAGAGAAATAGAACATTAAATTACTAACTAAACCTTACCTCCTACTCTAACTGTATCAAGGTATACATATATTCTGTGTTTTTTATAGTAGTCTTTGAGGTACAAAGACTAATAGATGATGCTTCTTTCCATGTTAATGAGGAGTCTGTATCTCCTCTGGGTACTCAAGTGAAATCGAACAGAAACACTAGCCTAGTCAACCAAAAAATCAATTATTTACACAGGGCTATATGCTAATATCTAGAATTGAATTTTTTGCACCTGATTAGTGAGCTTAATTGGGTGCATTTTCAAAAGACTATGAACCTAAGCTTCAATTTCTGCAGTGCTTATACACAGAAATCAGAAAAATAGCTTCATACTTAATACTAAGAGAAATTTTTGCATGGTTCATGGATCTTTGGCAGAGGGAACTTTATTTCAGTATCTGTGACCATGCCTGAGTTAGCCTGTTCTCCACACTTACTCTTTCTGCAGTCTTTCTTTCTGAATTCACCTACCAGTTGATATGACTTTTTCTGACTATATTGAAAAAGGTTCCAGTTCCTTGTGTTTAGCTGGCTAGTGTTTGCTGACTAATCTTTGCATGTGTGTATCTATACTTCACAGCAGTCTTTCAGTGCTTTTCTATTCTCTGCTGTCTTCCTGGTTGGCTAACTTTGTGCATCCCAATGATTCTTCTACTTTCCGATGCCTGGGTGGCTGTTTCAGCATCCAGGATTGTGGAGAACAACAATAAAGAGACTAGTGAGATATGGCCTAGATATTACTGATGAGGAGCTCCTTCTTGAAAGCCAGGATTTCTTGTTGACACAAAAAAATGCTTGTGCCTCAAATGTTTAGGACATCTGTGTAGAAATCTGCAGAGGATGAGTGAATCTTGAGCCTTGCAAAGAACCAGAGGGATGTCCTGTTTCAGCGCAGAAGATGGACAGCACGGCTGGACTGTACAGCAATTACATATAAGCAGGCATTTCCCTTCCAGTAAGATTTTGGAGGCGTTTACCTGGTTCATAATTTTTGCATACATTTTCAATCTTTATTGTCTTGTGAGCAGTCTCTTCTAATAACAGTAAATCCAAAAATTCATATCCAACCCCATAAGGGCTGCCGCAGACATGCAGGTGTAATTACCATCCTTCTCCCACCCAATTCACTCTCCCCTTGCCTCAAACTCGAGGCCTGTGACTGCTGCATTTTTTAAGAGCTGAATGTGTCCCACTTCACATTGTAAAGCCAGATGCTGTTGTCCACTGGTCCAGACCATTACTTCACACAACCAGTAGCAGCATGTGGTTCATTGTAGGAAGATTCATAATTTGGCCTTGAGAAAAATGGCATTTGTCATCTTGTGCAAGCTGATGGAGCCTGAGTAAGGAAATATTACTTTGTTAACACCCACAGACAGGGCCTTTTTTTTTTCCTTTCTCTTTTCTACAACCAACATAAACAAAGTACCAAGACAGCCAAGGTGAAATTCGTTATTATGTACTAACTGCTGGCCTGAATGAGAAGGGGTAAGAACAAAGAAGATGGGCCAGAAATCTATCAAAATCACAGAAGAAAGTGAAAACACATGGAAATAAAGGAGGAGATAAAGAAAGTTAAGGATATATCTGATGACTTTGGGCAGCACATGAGAGACCATTTACCCACTCCACAATAGTATTTAGAGGGCAGAGGCAAACAGAGGCAGCAACCAGAGAAAAGACAAATGATTTTGCACAAGTGCTCATTATTACTGTTTTTTTCTCAGAGATCACAGTAGCCTTCAGCAATACAACAACCCAATGACAAATGTGAGTATTTGAGAATGCTGCCTGCTCAGAGGAGAAATTTTCTCTGCAGCACCTTCCTCGCTGTATCTCCAGCTCCCTTCAGGGCAGACAGAGCTGCTGGGGGTGGAACATTACCTCCTGCTTGAAAGTGAAGTTTTCAGTATGCTGCTGAACTCACTGAGGGAGTGGTAGGAAGTCAGACCCTCTCCAGACCTTTTCTCTTTTTCAACGATCATAGATCTTACACGTCCAATGATCCTACATTTGGCTGATAAGAATATTTCTTTTAATATCTGATTTGATTCTTGTAAGGCAAAGCACCTCAAGCTGAATGCACAATGTATGGCTGATAAAAGCACTGGTCTTAATGCAGATCAGCAAAATACAGTTTATAAAGTGGCCTCTCCTACCAAAGTGACATACTTAACATATGCTGTTCTGTGAAAAGTCATTCTCTTTTCCATAAAAGCATAATTCCCATGCTTAAAAGATGTGATGAATGAAGTCTCTTTATTTTGATGTTCCATGTAGGAAGACAAATCCTCTCTGAATCTGTTGTCATTGTCAGTTGCTGTCTGGGAGCACCTCTTTTTTTTGCCTCCATGAAAAATGCTCTCCTTTGTTCTTATCAGCCCAGAGCAAGCAAGCAGGGGAGTAGTGTTCACAGTCATCCATTTAAGAACTCTCTTTTCTTGCTCAGATTTTTAAATTCACACTCCACTGTCTATCTGTAGTTTCTCAGGAAAAACTAATACATCTTCCCATATTAGCTTCTGCAGGACTCTTGCTTAAAGGCTTC